AATTCCCAAATAAAACTCTGTTTGCTTCCTAATCTCCCAGTTCTTATCCAGGCAGAAATTAGATAAGTTATAGCTTATATTCATGTGATCTGTATCAAAGATCTAAACTACCTACCCCAATCCTAAAAGGTTTTCCTAAAAATCATCTATCAAAATGGGACCATTTTTGGCCAAAGAACTGTTAGGTCCAAGCTTATGAGTGCCACAGGATTCTTCAAGTTTGAGTCCATTTAAATATATTCACAGATTGTTATTAAACAAGCTATCTTTTTTTTGTTTTTGTTTGTTTTCTTTAATGTAGACATTCTTGACAAGTTTACTGATATAGGACAATGTATGGTGGCTGTTAAATTCAATTTTACATTTTACCTTCCTCATCTCAGACCAGCCTTTATAATAACCTGCTTCCTTAACAGACACAAGGCCACCACCAAAAGCAGATGTCAAACTTGATTTACAGTGAACTTGATGTTCTTGAGCCCCAGCACCTTCCATAACTTGTTTTGCTCCAAGTATTTGGCACTGTCATTAGATTCTTAAAATTATTATTTTAAGAATATTTTCAGCAAAAGTAAATCATTTATTGTTTCAACACAGACTTACATGTAACATTTAGATTTTTTATTTTTAAACCCTAGCTGCTTAAAAAACTCACAACAGTTAAACCAATAGAGTAATTACTATATTCTCATACTCTATTTATAACTGTCCTGTCTATAATACTTTTGTCTGTAAGTCTTGCTTGGGGAATTCTGCAAAGGCCATTTACCAAAACCAACAAAGTTCTATTCTAAGGTTTTAAAAGAGTTATACTTGTTTTATGATTTAGGCATTGGTGGAAAGGAACTCAAGATTCCTTAAGCTGATTCTACATGAAAGTTGTGATACTTACCATCTATTATTGTATAAGCAATTTAAAGAACACTTTAAAATAGAATGATACTAACAGATACAAGGTAGACTCTACTTAGTCATAGCTAGATGTGGCTTTGTGTCAGATCTAAGACATGCAGTTGTAACACACTCAATGTGGAAGACTCAAAAATAAACTATTTAATCTAACTTTTATTGCCAGTCAAATCTATTTTCCAAATTTTTTAAATGGCTGTTAAAGTTTCCCCATCTTTCCCTGGAGTAGTCAGTCAGATTATGCCAGGAAGCCATTTCCCAAATTCGTTTGGAATTAATGAGCTGAAGCTCTCTTGCTGAACTGTGTGATTCCACCCCAGCCTCCCAGTTAGTTTATGAGCAATGTAATTGGCTTTCATTGTGGAGGGGATTCCTATGGTGTTCTCATTTGTGAAAATGAAGTGGTCAAAGGGAAAGACTTTCAAAAAGAATGTTTTTCTCTGATGTAATCCCTTCTAAACAGAAAATCACTGTATATAAAGTTCAATTAGGTCCACATACAGTATAAATGGCTTCTGTAACAATTAGACTTCAAATATAGAAGCAGCTGAATATTACAATATTTTCTATTGCCTTCCCTGGTTCTTTGCCAAACATGCCTTGACTCAACAGAAGAGGAGGAGGCTTTTATATTTGGGGGAGAAAAAGAACATAACTGTCGAAGCTCTACAAGTTTAGATGCAAACTGGCACTTTTCAGAAATTTTGGAAAATGAATGAAACTCTTTTACAATTATAACTCTACACATAGGATCTACTGACAAACTATGGGAACTTAATAATAATAATATATCTATATATAATTCCAACCCTTTCCAATGTGACCTACTATTTATTTAGCAGCAACAGTGAACCATATAGTTTTGTTCAGAGATACAAGGTTGAAGAATAGACTTTATGTCCAGGAAAAAAATCTGCTTTGAAATTGGTGATAGAGGGAAAAAAAGCCTTTTTTACTTAAACAGAGAGAAAAAGCCAATCATAGCTATTTATGACAAAGACCAAAATCTTTTCAACCCACTAAAGATAAAGATGAATTAAGAAAGAACACTAAAAGAAGAAAATGAATAACTCCCATATTAGTCCAAGAAGTCTAACAGGTGTTTGTCGTTAAACAAGAATTATAGAAATAAAGCAATAAAATCGCAATACATTATAGAACCAATCAAACCAACAAAAATACAAAAAAATCAAACCAACCAAGCAAACACCACCACTCCACAAATAAAATGGGGTTTCATTTTAACTTAAGAATCTGGTATGACAAGTTGCTTTTCTCAAATGACTGAAACAATTTTGACCCAGCTGCTACTTATTTTAACCTCCAACAGACTATTTCAAGATGGATCACTTCTGGTGAAGCTATACATTCCACCTAAATGGCATATAGCTTAAGCCTCGGAGGATGACTTTACCACCTCCAGGCAGTATGCACAGACTACAACACTTGTGCTGGACTCTGAATGATATCTCATATCCAAATGCTCCCTTAATTATAGCTTTTGTTTCTCAAGCTGCTCTTTCAACTTGTCAGAGGCTGCCTCAAGTAACTAAAATTGGATTCATGCAGAAAAAATGTATTTTAGGAAAACATGTGCAACAAGCACCTACGCATCGGTTAACATTAAAGCTGCAGCACACAGAAGGACAGGCTGTAAAATTTAGCAAGTCACAACATTTGCTTTGAAATGTGAGGGCAGTCTTTTAAAGTAACACACCAAAATGGCACAATCATTTCATCTGTTCAACACATATTTATTGAGCATCTATATGCCAGAACACTACGCTGGGTGCTGAGGATACAAAAATTAGCAGAATAGGTACATAAAGCTCTACATATTTGTATGGTTCCTAAGGCTGAAAAGCAAAGAGAAAATATGATTATCCTCTGATTTTTCCATTAGGGGCATCTATCCCCTCACCCCTATTCCAGTTATGGGGAGGTTGAGGTCGTAAGTTTTTGTAGAAATCAACTGTGACATTTGTGGGAAACTACTTCCTGGAGTCCAAGTACAAAAAAAGGGTAGATCCTTGGGTAAGGCTATTTTAACACATGTTGTCAAACTATTGTAGTTTTTAAAATCTGATTGCTATTTGTAATAATGCTGTTCCTGGAAAATGCATTCTGAGTCTAAAAGGAGTCCCCATGAACCAAGTCCTTCCTGGTTCAGACTAGGCGGTGGAACTCTTCCAGTTCCAAGCTGTTAATTCCTACAGAAAGGAGAGCCAGGGTCTCCGATGAGAACCAGGGTTAGGAAGTGGGAAACCAGCATTAGGAGTGGGGATTAGAAACAAGCTCAGATTTTCCCCAATCTTTCTTTTTCTTTTCTCTTCATTGAACAGACAAACATGGGGTAAGAAAGGGGAGGGTGTCGTGAGTTTACTGAGGTTAGGGCTACTGGTACTAGTGTGATGGGGTTACGAGAAATAGAACGGAGTTTGCAGGGAGGTAAACGGAAAGGAAGAGAAATTACAAATAGGACAAAAGGGGGAAAGCCTGCGGATGTGGCAGAAATGAGTCACCAGACAGAGTGAATACTACATGTAATGTATGTTGGCAGGGGGCATATTAAAAAATGAGGCACTGTTGAGGGCACACTAGAGACATCCATTCAAATGATTAGCAACCAATGACTGTTCTTTGCATATGGGATACACAAAATGCACTGACAGAATATAAAGAAAGGGACAAGAAGAAATGAGTCCACTCCAATGGAGTATTTGCAATGCCATGAAAATTACAGCATTTTGCACAAATACTAGTTACTAACCATTTATTATTACCTACAAGGAGGCTTTGCTCCAGACAGATTGAATGACTTGACCAAGGTTATACGGTTATGCTTAGTGGCGTGACAAAGACCAGTTATGAGCTTTAACATATGTAACTAGGCATGTGTCAAAGCCACGAACATGTGATCCCCAGGGAGGCCATGCCAGACAAGACTGAATCAGGGAAAGAAAGAAAGAAAGACAGGCCCTATATCAGAAAGTACCTGCCTTATGCACTGGGAAGGAATGAAACCACTGAAAATTACTTATCACATATTACAAAGCTGTAAGAGAAAACAAAAAAAGCAATAGTTTTCTGTGATAAATTACCCTGAGGCATACTTAGAAATGTCAGCCAGCCTTAAAAAACATAAATTAATGTCACTCTAAATTTAACAGCATACAGAAGTAATAACTTTAGATTTTACTTTTATCACAATTATGATTTCAAAGTTATCCAAGAGAAGACTACCTACATATGACTAACCATATAAAGACCATTCATGGATTCCCTAGACCCCAGATTAAGAATTCTTACTTTTGTTTCAGTATTTGATATCCTAAAATACAAAGGGATAGAGGAGGTAGAGAGGTGGGGGCGTGGTACACGGAAACTCTGTTTCCATCACTGAGGGAAAAAAGAAGACATGGTGAAGAAAAGAACTTCACTCACTGGTTATTGTCAGTGACTGAGGAAATCCCTGATGCAGTGTTAAGGATTTGTGACACTTGGAAGCAGTTATGGCCCTGTGTTTTCTTCTTAATAAGACTTAACTTTATTTTTTAGAGCAGCTTTAGGTTCATAGCAAAACTGAGTGGTAAGTACAGAGTTTCCATGTATGATGCCCCCACCTCTCTACCTCCTCTACCCCTTTGAATTTTAGGATATCAAATACTGAAACAAAAGTAAGAATTCTTAATCTGGGGTCTAGGGAATCCATCAGTGGTCTTTATATGGTTCTTGATCTCCCAGATATTATATCCTGAACTTTGGCGTATGGGTGTACACACATATTCTAGGAGTAGGTCTCATTGAGATGTCAACGGGTCAGTATTCAAAGACAGGTAAGGCCACCAAGCTAAAGAATGAAGCTCATGGTGCAGATATCAGATAGAGACACTAAAGGAACTATGTTGGGGGCAGAAAGGATTCACCAATGCCCCTAAAATTACAACACAACAGGTGTCTGCCAGGGCAAGTATCAATATGTATACCCAGGCCTCTAATGTCAATGGGGGCTACAGAAATCCCTAACTAAATAAACCAATGAAACGACTTTCAAAACATAGGATGACCTGTTTTTTTTCTTTTTAACATACCTTTAAAGCTTCTATAACCAGGTCCCTTGCTTCAAGCTCTCCTTCCAGAATACTGAATAGTGTTAGAAGTTCAGGCTTGCTGAGTTTTTCCAGATTCATCCTGAAAGCCTAAAACAAAAACAAGGATCACAGACTCTCCAGAGACAGGTGCTTTGATGTTATTAAATAAAAAATAAAGAGGTACAAACAAGAAAAGAGCACCAATTACAGTATAAAATATATTAAGAAAGGAAATGGTTACAATTAAGCAGAAAAATAAGCTTTTTAATGTTAATCATAAACTGGGCAGTAAGAGAAAATAAAATTCAATTTACTTATTGACTCCATCACCACTCACAAAGGTAAGTTTTTCATCATTTTTCCTCCAGACATATTTACAAACATCCTAGAAGGTCTCAGAAAGAATTAGCCACTAATTTTGTTCACTCCAAGTTCAGGTAAAAATGAATACTGTTTCACCAAAAAATTTTTAGACCATGATATGATTTCCTACTTTTAGAGAACCAAATTTAAAAAGTGTATATATAACATTTTGGCATCCCTCTGAAATTGGATGAAATGAAATCTGAGCAAAGATAATGTTTGGTGGGAATATGGGAGAAATGTTTCTTTCAAGTTGTCTACTTTCATGGAGAACAACTAGTAAAATCAGACTTAAATGCAACCATATATAAATATACTTTTAAATGACTTCTCAAAATACATAATTTAAAGTTCTTAACTGGTTGGGCTACTACAAACTGAATTTGGCTTAAAAAGTTCATATTTCTATTAAGTACTGGATCTTTTTAAGTATGTTAAATGGCAAATTGCATGGCACAAACTCAATCCTTTCTACAAGATTAATTTCTCACAAACCACACATAGAAGCTAGACTACTATATAATTTTTGAAAGGTCTTCTGACCAATGTTTATGGTAAAAGGTAAGATACATTTTATAACTTCCAAAGTAGAGCAAATACTATTTTCTCTCTTGCACTGTTTACTGCCAAATTGTCACTCTCACGGTTTTCTTTAAAGTGAATCACAACATGACTAGTTCACACACCCTCCAAAAATTCCCAGCCTCTTATGAGTGCATTAAATTTTAGGAGGCACACAAAAGAGTCATTGATTCCTTGCAGAGCCACTTCCTCTGTGTGAAGGAGAACATGTAGGAAATGCATACTTCAATGTGTTGTTAGACTGTGTTTCAGGACATGCTGTACAAATCTTTTGCCACCTAGTAAAATATGTTCAGTGTAACTTAACAACTTTTTAACCAGTGGATTTTAATGACAAGTAAGTGACTCTAACTTCGGCATTGGAGAGAGACCTCACAACAGTTATTTAAAAAATAAGAACTTAAGCAACAGCAATCCAAAACCAACAAACCTAATAAAGTTACACTTAACACACGATGTATATTGGAAAAAGCACACGGCTTTGCAGTCAGATGCCACTCCTGTAACCTTCCCAGTTGTGTGACTTGGGGAAAGCTTTCTGACTCACAGTTTTCCTATCTGTAAAAGGGGAAGGATGAGTATCTAGCTCATAGGGTTACTGTGAAGACAGTCAAAAAATGTAAAACATCTTCCCAAGTTCCTGATACAAGTTGAATTGAACAATGGTTTATTTTTTTTGTAAACAATTTTTTTTAAATTAAGGTATCATTGATATACAATCTTATGAAGGTTTCACATGAGCAACATTGTGGTTACTATATTCACCCATATTAAGTCCCCCCCCAACTACAGCTCATGGCAGTCACTGTCCCATCAGTGTAGTAAGATGCTATAGAGTCACTACTTGTCTTCTCTGTTTAATATTGCCCCCCGACATCATGTGTAGTACTCATACTACCCCTTAATCCCCTTCTCCCTTCCTTCCTACCCACCCTCCTCAACCCATTTCCCCTTTGGTAACCGCTAGTCCCTTCTTGGAGTCTGTGAGTCAGCTGCTGTTTTTGAACAATGGTTTAATTATTAATGATTACTAAGCTTTCTCATTTTCCAAAAGAATTATAAGGTATTACCAAAATTGGAGGCAGCCAAGATCAATGAGCTTGAAAATACCCCCAGTGGCCTTTTTGTAGCTGGGAACCCCAGACGAGGACGGGTCAGAGCATTTCCAGGGTAGAACAGGGAGGAACTTAAAACTACCAGTTAAGCCACACTGGTTTCTGAGATGAAACCTTTTCCCCTCTCCCCGAGGGTTTCATGTTTTACTCCCTCTCAGAGAGATCATAAGGGAAAGGAACAATCCTATCATTTTTATGCCCTTCCTTTCCCCTCCCATGATGTTAAGGAGCATAATGGGTACTTAAGAAGGTACTCCATAAATACCGACTGCACGAGTAAATCAATTGGATCCATAAGCACAGAGGTAGGAAAGTAGGAACAGAGCTAAAAATGATACTGTTCATACATGTTATTCTTTATCCTTCAATATCTTTAGTTCTTAAATATTCTTATAGAATATTAAAAGAAGCAGTGTGATATGAGTAAAACTCAACAGACTGGGAGTGAGAAGTGAAGAATTTTAGTCTCAGCTCTACCACAAAACAGTCATACGGCCATGAGGAAAAAAAGTATCCAGATGCTCTGACACGGGGTTTCCTCACAGGTAAAATAAAACAGACTAGATAATCTTTAAAGTCCTCCTGGGCTCCATTCTAAGCTTTCACGGGTAAAAATCAAGAATTATTTGTTAGAGAAGCAATTAAATATGAATAAAAGTTAAATATATAAAGACTGTAGTTAAATCAAAGGCTTTAATCTGTTCTGCTAAATATGCATCCTCATAAAAGAGTAAAAGTGAAAACATCTTCAAAGTCATTTTAATTATAAAAGTCCAGCCTAGGCAAGAAGAAAATCCTATTCTTTGTCAAAGGCATAAAGAACAATGTTCTTGTTATCTCTACATCTGTAAATCACTTCTGCACACCCATTTTAGTATCTAGAACATTCTGCTGATAGACACCAATTCATTTAGTTTAGTATTTACATGAATGAAATACAAATACAATACAGGAGGTAAAAAAGGGTCACAGCTAAGTAATTAAAAAGCCAATAGGTCTGTTTTCACATATTTCTATAACCTTTCTTTATAAATATGAGAATTTAGCAGTTCTTTGCTGTTCTTCACATTTGAATCTAATCTCAATACACAAGACATTGTCATATATTTTTGTCTGAAATACAAACAAAAGATAGTAAAGTGCATTTATATTTTAGGATGGCAGTAGCATTCCTGGGAGTGGGGGTGGGGACAGGGATTACACTAACCTGTTGACTGGCAGTCACACTTTACTCACAAGTTTAAGTTCTTAAGGTTTCTTCAGTTAAAATTTAGGAAGTTTGACAAATAAATTAAAAACGCCATCAGCATGGTGGAAAAGCATCCAATGCTGCAAAATAATAAGAGATTTATTGTCTATGTGACCATATTATAAATAATGTGGTAAATCCCACGAATGTCTACAGTCATGATCAGGGATAAGGCCTGACAGCTGCAGGCAGATATAGACAAAGAAGAAGGAAAGAGCCACTTTTTCAAGTTCAAGCTGAGTAAGTCAGGTAAAACACCAGGAATCGGACTTCCTTTTTGTAATTATCATTAAGGAAGCTGAGAGCTTTCAGAATCTTTTTTATTTTAAGATGTTCACTGTTGTTTCAAGGACTAACTTTGAATGTCACTAGAGAGTGACTTTCTCCCCTTGACACGACAAAAGCCTACTTGCTTGAATCACCATGACTTGTGCACAATGCACTGAGACAGAAAAGTAACACAACTACAACTGAACCTTTCAACTGCCAGATCTGTGTAAGGAAAACTCATCCCCTCACCTCCTGCCAATCAATAAACAAATTGTCACCATTTTGACTTTGCGTGTTAAGGTGGATTACTCATCCCAACTTCTACTTTTCCCCATTTATTTTCAAATATCAAATGTTGAATCATATGCAAATTTTTTATGTTTTCCTAATAGTGTATTAGACATGCAGGAAACTTTTTTTTTTAAGAAACAAAGTTGTCCAGGTTTTATTCACCGACAGCAATTCCTCTTCTCCCTGCCTGCTGCTAGACCCAGCAAACTTTTAAAAAAATGATTGGCTTTAAATTTGGATAAAACGTAATTTTTATCTTGTACTTTCAGGCCAACTCTATTGACTTCAATTTCTGCCCAAGATGTAATTATGTGGCTCAAGACTTTCAGAAATTAACTCCATATTAATTATCAGAAATATGACTGCCAGATTTGGGCATGCCATATTGTAGTCTACAGGTTCATTCTCTACTAATTTCCTAAATGAGCTGCTGTAACGTCATTGTCATCATCCATGAAGTAACTTTGAAAGACAAGATCATTCCAACCATCTGGCTCAGCTCATTCCTTCTATTAGAATTTCTTCAAGACCCAACTTTTTTTGAGTTCAGATGCACATATTTCTAAGGAATGCTACAGTCTATAAATTTGAAATAAAAACCACTTGTAGAAAGTTGTCTGGATACATTACCCTACACTGTAGAACAGCTCACTGTAACTATATTAAGCTTTATAGTTTTCTCAATTAAAAGATACATAATATGTATAATAAAAATGGCAAATTACACACATTTTAATACCCTGGAAAAATAAGCCTATTTATGGGCTAAGTATGAAACTTATTTATTTATTTATTTTTGAAGCAGAGTAAAAGTTTTATTTAAAGTAACTGAAAGAAAGAAGATGTGCAGCAGGCAATCTCAGCAAAGAGAGGCGCCCTGAAAGGTTTGGAGAGAGAAAGTTTAAGATTAAAAAGTTACACACTTAGAAAGTGCGGGTGACCTCAGAGAGAGGAGCGCCCTGAAAGGTTGGGGGTACTCCCTTTTAAGGATTCTTTAGGAATGTGACTTGAAGCTTATTTTTAAGTTATCAATAAGTGATTTCAAACTTGAGTTTGTCCGGCATACCATTGAGTCTATTCATAGGCTACTTTCCACCAAGTCAGGGCCAGCAGCCAGGAGTACGTGAGTCTCTTTTATATGAACTTTCATGTGCTAACAATCTCCAGAGCTATGTGTATCAGGAAGGGCATCCTCCCTGACCCACCGTACCTCCCCAGTGCCCGTGCTGACTCTGCCACGGAAGTGTGTGGCTGTGGCCCGGACTCTGTTCATCTCATTCTGGCCCATCCCTTTTTTTGATAATACCCCCCGCTCCACTCATTCTGGTTCTGGTTGTGTCTTTATCCTTCTTCAGAACCAGCTCTTGCGCTGGAACTCTGGATTAATTCTCCACGACAGAAGGCACTGCTGCCTTCTTGTCACTTAAAGATTAGGTGGCAGAAAAAGAAACACCCCAAACAGCTTCTATAGCTCTGTGAGTGGTAGGCAGGGCAGGGCGGGGTACAAGTAAGATGTTTGTTTATGGGGTATCTGGGTGTGTATATCTTTATGTGGAATTGAAGGGTGTATTTCTAGGTGGGGGTGATATGGGGGGCTGGGACGGAGAAAACATTTTTAGATTGGGTCTTAGATATTTCCAGATGCAGAAACACCTCAAAAAAACCTACATAAGATTAAAAAAAGGAAAAAAACCCAACAACTTGGCTAGTATAAAAAAAACAAATCATTTTTTTTTAACGCAGATCAATATTCTTGTAAAACTGGAACAAAACCCACTTCTTTATTATATACTCAGGATCAAATTTAAGAAATTTATACTTGGGCTACAACTGACCAAGATTCAGGCTACTTAGTAAGTTTTTAGTATTAGTGATGAGATATGAGCAAAGACATAAAGGAAATTTGATCTACTTACGGAGAGACTCTTTCACATACATATAAGCAAAACAAAAACATAGGAGACCAATTAATTCTTAAAATCGAAGAGAGCATTGACAAACAAGACGGGTGTCTTTGATAGCTTTCCATGAGATAACATACTTCCTTTAAAAACCCAGTGTATGGTTTTTAAAATGAAATTTTTAAAATGTGTCACATTTATAAATACTACATCTAAATATGGATAAAAGTACACTACTATTTTTAAGAATGTATCCAAAGCAACTTCCCTCCCTCTGGGGAGGGAAGGTTATACATTACTTTGACTATCTCAAAAGATTTAAGTTTCCCAAGGGGCACAAAAATCTCAATCATAAGTTGGTCACGGGGATGGTAGTACAGCATGCAGAATATAGTCAATGATCCTGCAACATCTTTTTATGTTGACAGTAACTGCACTAGTTGGGGATATGACTGGATGATATGTGTTAACTGTTCAATCACTGTGTTGTCTACTTGGAACCAATATAAGACTGTGTGTCAACTATACTTCATTTTAAATAAAGATTTCAGTTTCCCCACTTTCTGGCACTTACAGTTTTTATAAGGGTTATTCATGCATTTGGAGGGTAAGAGTGACAACATTCCAATATGTACCTCTCATTACACTTTTGGCATTTTAGGATTAGGCTAGGGAAGAAAAACATGTCAAGATACTATCAGAAAATAATTTTCTGATGAAGGAAGCAGATCTTTCGTACATTCACTAAAGAGAGTCTTTTTTGCTATTATTATTTATAGGTAGGTATAAAAGATAATCTCATCTCACTGAATTCTACAGTAAAGCAATATAGGTATTACTGTAAATGTCAAATCTATTTTTCAGTTGAAAGGAAAGGATATTCCTGGACTATCTGGATCCTTATGTCTATGTGTTATACCATGGGCTGCACTATGTCCCCCCAAAATTCACATGTTAAAGTCCTTATCCCCAGTCCCTCAGAATGTTTGGAGATTGGGCCTTTAAAGAGGCAATTAAGTTAAAATGAGTTCATCAGGGTGGGCCCTAATCTAACCCGACTGGTGTCCTTATTTGAAGAGGAAATTGGGACACAGAAGGGCAGGAAAAGACCACGGGATGACACAGGGAGAAGATGGCCAGCTGCGAGTCAAAAAAGAGAGGCTTCCAAAGAAGCCAATCTGCTGACACACTGTTTTCAGCTTCCTAGCTTTTAGGACTGAGAAAAGAAATTTCTGTTGTTTAAGCCATTCTGTCCATGGTGCTTTGTTCTGGCAGCCCAAGCAAACTAATACAACATGCTAACCCCTGACTACTTTTAAAGACTAGTTAGAGCAACTGGCTGTAAGTCTTCCCCTTATGAGGAGGGTGCTATACCATGTTTCTCAGTATGCCTTGCTTTGTCTTATCAGCCTGTTTTTCCCAGCTGCGCTACAGATGACATTATATAAAACAGAATGGTTTTGAAACAGTTTTGGAGATTATAAAATTCAGGATCCTGAAATATAATATGAATGGCACACTTACAAAGAAATTACAACAGTGCTAAGGGGCCGAGATGCTTGTTTATCCAATACTGTCAATACAGACTTTGAAGTAGGCCTCCAGAAACCAGTTCTATAATAAATCTAATATTAAGGTCAACATTTAAAATACTTTCAGTACTCTATTCAAATTCATAGCACTCTATTCAAAGCAGATTCCAGGACACCAGAATTTCTGGATTTATGCTTAGTACAGAAATTAATAATGATATAACTGAGCTTATCAATGTTTGCCACCACCACCTCAGAGTTTTATAGCAGTTTTCTAAGAATTCAAGCAATGATTGTAATAATGAAGAAGATACACATTTACTGTGCTAAACATTAACATGTTCCAGGCAGTGTTCTAGGTATAGAATGTGTTAATTCAATCCTCACAACCACCTTAGGTGTTAGATGCTATAGCCATCATCAACGAATTCTTCATCACCACCATTTTACAGATGGGAAAACTTGAGGCACAGAAGCTAAATGACTTGCTCCACCAAGTCTCCCATCTAGTATATGGCAGAAATGGAATTGGAACCTAGGTAATATGATTCTAGGAGTTTCCTCAGTAATCACTGCTATTTGGTAACCACTGTTCACACCTGATTTCATTTTATCAGTTTTAGGAATCGTGTGGTGGAAAACCTCAGCTAAAATGTGATTCACAAAGCTGGAAGGGACCTCAGAAATAATCTAATTTAGCATTCTCATTGTACAGATGAAAACTGAGGCCAGAGTTTTTAAGTGAATTACTGAAAATTACTGTGAAATAGTAAACTAGATCTAATATATCTTTTTTAGATCTAGTCTAATCCACTTTCTGGGACACCATGATGGCTATTAGGTTTTTGTTTTGCTCTGTTCTAAGACTCATGTATCTCTGCTGTATCTCTGCGTGTATATATGAATGTCTGTCTCTTTCTCTTGCTTTGTGTGTACATCTGCTTCTCTCATTATCATTCCTACATGGTTCAGTAAGATTTACATGTATATTAAAGAAAAGGAGTAAGTGGCCTCATGCCCATAAACAAACATTGAGACATCCCTCCCCTAAAATGAGGACATTTAGCACAACACTATTAAAAACAG